CTGGAGTTGGCAACCCTATCTCCTTCCCAGCCAAGCATCAACCTGCCATTATCTGCCCCTCTGATATCAGCTTTGCATCTCCTCCCCCCTCCCTCCTGGAGATCAGTTGTAATTCTGAGTGATTTCCACTCCTGAGATTGGCAACAGTAGTTCCCCAGGAGGGAATGGCTGGTTGGGAGTGCCTGTCTGAGGTCCCACCCCTTCTCAAACCTCAACCTCTCCAGGTGACTGCCACAGAGTCCACCATTTTCTCCAGGGGAACTGATCTCTGCCATCTGGAGAGCAGTTGTAATTCTGAGTGATCTCCAGCCCTCACCTGGAGATTGACAACAATGGTTTCCCAGGAGGAAAAGTAGTCTTTCTCTGCAGTGGGGACCAAAGCAGCTTACATCATTCTCCTCTCCCTCTTTTGACTTGCACAACAACCCTGTGAGGTAGGTAAGGCTGCAAGTCTGTGACTGGTCCAAAATCACCCACTAAGCTTCTACAGCAAGAACCTGGATCTATCAGACCCTGCTCTGAAGCACTGACTGCTATGCCTAGGGCAGCCAACCTCCAGGTGGAGCCTGAGGATCACCAGGTACCACAACTGAACTCCAGACAACAGATCCCCCCCGGAGAAAATAACTGCTTTAGAAGGTGGGCTGTATGGCATTCTGTTCAGCTAAGGCCTCTCCCCTCCCCAAACCCTGGCTTCCATAGACTCTACCAGAAAATCTCCAGGAATTTCCCTACCTGGAGCTGGCAACCCTAGTCAGGATTGGCCCCAATGAGTTCCTCACAAAGGCCTGCAAAGAGTTTCCTTCCTTTGTCTGAACCAAGCTTAGTTGCCTACTGTGGCGAAACGGGCTCCAGTTTACAACTCAGCTGTTTGCTTCCCACCCTTGTCCCATGGGTATATCTCACTTAAGTTCGCTGCCACCACTCACAGAATTGTCACTGCCTTTTTATTTATTTTGGAAACAATTTATTTATTGGTTTTTAAAATAAAAACAAACATACATATCTCCTATTTCTATGCAGTTCGGGTCTGTCTTTCCATCTTGTTTTTTATCCAATTATATACCCTCGCCCATCTCTTTAGATAAATATCTTCATCTTTGCCCTGCATTATTACACTTACTTTATCCATCTCTGCCAAAGTTAGCAGTTTGTTAGTCAACTCTTCCTCACTCGGAACTTTATCAGATTTCCAGTATTTTGCCCATAACATTCTAGCTGATGTTACTATCATTATCATTAAATATATGTCACAAATCTTTAAGTTTTCTAGGAACATGTTCAACAAATAGCATTCTGGTTCTATTTTCAGATTTACATCAGTAATTTCATAAATTATTTTCTGGATCTTACACCAATATTTTTGAACTTTAACACAACTCCACCACATGTGGTAGAACGTACAGAGCATTCTTTTGCATTTCCAACATTTATTTACATTATTTTAATAACATTTTGCTATTTTTTCTGTCAACCAATGCCATCTATAAAACATCTTAAGTATGTTCTCCTTATATGATATGGCCCTCATAAGTTTAGAGGTTTTCCAAATTTTCGACCAAGCATCTGTATCCAAGTTATGACCTATATCTTTCATCCATAAAATCATAGAAGGTTTAATCAGATCCTCTAGCATATACTCTTCCAACAACAAATTATATAATTTCTGGATCATTTTGTCATTAGAGGAAAGCCATATCTTATCCAGTTCATTCTTACAAGTTTCAAAGCCATATGATGCCTCTTTAGCATATCTAGATTTTAATTGTAAATATTGCCACCAGGATAATTGTATGTTCTGTTTTAACAGATCTTCCTCAGATTTTAATTCATTATTCTTTTTTAGTAATGTTTCATAAGAGTCTCTATTATTTATTGTAATTAATGACGTTTTTATGAATGCCTCTAAAGGCGACACCCATTTGAGAGTGTTCCTGTAATATCTCTCTTTTATATGATTCCATATTTTAACTAATGCTCCTCTTAACATATGATTGTGGAAGTTAGAATGGATTTTGTCCTTCCCATACCAGACATAAGCATGCCATCCCATACATAGATCATGACCCTCTAATTTTAAAGTTCTCATATTTTCCAGTTTTATCCAGTCTTTAATCCAGCATAGTGCAGCTGCCTGATAGTATAGCTTCTAGTTAGGGACACCAAAAACCCCTCTCCTCTCAGCCTCTGCTGATTCTACTGTCTCTCTCAGTAGTCTCCCACATCTGACATCACCACTCTTCATCCGCTGATCCTCCACAACCCTGAATGGAACTCCGCCACTCTTAAAGCAATACCTCCTAACAACGGGGGGTAGAGAATGAAAGAAACGGAAAAAAATTATCTCAACTATCAGGTCTCTGCTTTTATATATTTATGCCCTATTGCTACTCTTCTCCTTCCCCTTGACTAGAATCAATTCTTTAACTAGCTGCCTTGGGGGAAATTTCTTCAGTCTTAAATTAATAGATCAATATGGGCATTCCCCTTCTCCTTCCCTCACTACGCCACTTTTGTTCTTCCCAATTGCAGCCTACAAGGTAGTTTGCAAGGACAAGATAGTTTTAAATATAACAAGAAAGAAAGACAAAAACAAGCAACACTTAGCTTCCTTTGGTCGAGAATCAATTTATTCAGACCCAGGCGGTTCTTCAGGCTCTTCTAATGCCCAGTGTGACTATGTCTCATTGGAGCTCCTTGGATTTCCTTGCTTCAGAGCTGGTCTAGTCAGTTGGGGGGAGTTGCCACCCCACCCCACCTTAGACTAACACTCCCTGCCAGCTCTCCCTCCACAAGAGAGAACTTTTAGAATTGCCTAAAAGAGCTAGAAGGAGAGCTGAATGTGCGGAACTAACTTCCCACACACCCACTACCAGAGAGTCCTGAACCCGTCACTGCCTTTTTAGAGGGACAGTGAGACCCCTTTGGCCGAATCTCCCTATTTGGAGATGGAATTCCCAATCTTTGGGGGATCCCTGGAAAGTTGGCAACCCAAGGGTCTGGCCTTTCCTTGCTTCCCTGGGCTACTCCCTCCTTTTGATATTGTGCAGAGCGGGGGTCAGAGCACAACACAGATTATTAGCCCAAATAAATGAATTTATTTTACTATTTACACAGTTATGGAGCACACACACACTGTAGGAGTAAGCACACACTATGAACCAACAGGACATAAATCAGCAGGAATTAAATGCAATCCTCTTTCCGTACACACAGTACTCTCTACCTCTGGAGGCTGTGGGCTCAGGATAGGATCTCTCCTTGGACCAGCCTCTGGCTGTACTTCAGACTCTCTCTATCGCCCAAGAGAGCAGGGAAACTTCCATTCATTCCCCAGTCCAGCCGACTGTGGAGTGGCTGAATTTCTGCTGCCTCCCAGGGATGAAGACTGCCTCCTCCCTGGATGGGCTGCAGTCTATAGTGATGCCGCCCCGCCCGTTGGGACAGTCCCTGTTTTCCCGCACTTTTTTCACCTTGGGGCAGCTGGGAACTGTAGGCCAGCAGATGAGGAAGCCCTATTCAGCCCAGTGAGTAATACCCCTGCAGGCCCCTCTCTGGAACTACAGCTCAATTAAACCTTATGGGGGAACATTTTAAACAAAGAACCACAGCCATCTTACAAACACAGGTAACTGCCATTTCGTTACACCTACCAACAGCCACTGAGGGGAAAGTTAGTCCCACACAGGAGGCAAGCAGGAAAAGCATCTTTGTCAATAGAGAAAGCTGTTTACCAGTAATTCTGACAGGGCACAGTGGCTGAAGGGGGAGTGGGTGGGAAGAGGAGCAGACCCAGCACCTGGCCAATGGCACACAAGTACTCTTGAGTGGTGGCTGACAGGCCAATGACTGAGGGAGTACATGGAACGCTGCCACTTGAAAACAGAACTATATATAAGGAGAGATGGGGTAATTCTTATGGGCACATGTCTACTTGAAACCAGGGTTACCAGGTACCCCTTGGCAACTGGTGTTGGGGGGGTTTCCAGCAGTGGGGAGTGGTGGTGGTGGGACATACTGGCAACAGGGGATGCCTGCAATGTTTTCAGTCATGTCATCAGTGACATCACTTCCAGCATGCACTGGAAATGACATCATTGCATCGCCAGCAATGTGGCAATGCTCTGGTATTTAGGCAAAGACTCTGTGGTAGAAACTGTTTTTATCATAGAGTTTTTGCCCAAATACCAGAGCATTGCCACATTGCTGGCGATGCAATGATGTCATTTCCAGTGCATGCTGGAAGTGATGTCACTGATGACATGACTGAAAACATTGCAGGCATCCCCTGTTGCCACCACGGCCATACAAGGGAAAACTCTATGGTTTTCCCTTGTATGGTCGTGGCCCCGCCCCCAGCGTGCCCGGCATCATGATGTCACTTCCCTGTGACGTGCATGCGGTGCGCACGCCGGGATCCACACAGGAGTCACCCACCAGCAAGGTAAGTGCCACTTGGCAACCCTAAGGCGATGTCATGATGTCACTTCCAGTGCATGCCAGAAATGATGTTGCCAGATTTTCAGTGATGCGAGCCTAGGGCTCTTTTAGCTGCTGGTGACATTGCTGAAACGCAGGGCTAGGCTTTCCCTGCTGCCAATAAGTCCCTCCTTTGGCCAGCTGACCAGTGAGGGGGCCATGGCCCATGAGGCAGGGAATCCCTGACCCTGGCAGTGGGCTGGCAACCCTACTTCAAACATATAGTGTATTTATATTAGCATTTGTGTTAGTGAATTTAAAAAGGGGCATTACAGCATGAAAGCGTTACTTGAATTTTAAACTGCACTTCTTGGGTTGCATTCATTTACTGTGCTTGTTTTATAGTAAACCTTTTTTCCCCCAGAGTGTTGTGAAAATGATTTATAATTGCATTTATATTTCAGATCTTTCATTGAAACATCATTGCTATCTAGTGACTGTTTTCTGATATATAACTTATGGTTTGCAATTAAAATGTACCATGCATGTAATTGCAGAGGGATGCTGTATTATTTCAACAGAATAAAGATGTTCTGGTTCCAGAGCTGGACACTGCAGCTAGCAAAATATTCCTCACGTCCACTGCAAAGACTATTGTGTGAAGCTGTTCGCAATTTACCAGTGTTAACATTATTCACCAAGGTAAATACCCCTTGAGTAAACTTGACTGAGTTACCTAAAACGGAAGTTCTAAACTCATAGTTTTCAAAAGAAACATCATCATCTCTATAATCTCAACATAGCCAGATTTGTGAATGCAATTTGGAGATTGGAGCCATGAACAGACAAGATAGATCTTTCTACAAACCTGAAAAATACACTGAGGGGTTAAAACCACCCAAAATAACAGAAACAGTGACTCTACAAATGACCTCAGTGGCAGGGCAGGCCCCAGCTTATTTTGCACCCTAGGTGAGGATCCCTTCTGGCGCCCCCCCATGCGCCCACCATGGCTCAGACCCGTTAATTGGATCTGTACCCCGGACCTCCTGTTCCCCTGGCACCCATGCTCTTAACACTCACTTTTGCTTTTGTAACTTTACCTGCTTTGCACATCTGGCTTCCACCAAGGAAGACTCTGCAAAGAAAGGCACTCGCAGTCACAAACAACCTCTGCTTCTCACTTGCCTTGACAGTTCCTTGCTGGGGTTGCCATAAGTCAGTTGCAACTTGAGTGTCCTAATGTAATAGCCCCCCTACTTAGGTTCTTCTTTAACTTAGCTGAGTGACCCTTCTGTGCCCAGAGGGCTAAGTTCTTTGGTGGAATTGGCGTTTGTATCATCAGAAAGATTATAACATGTGTAAAACTCAGTAGTGTTTGCAGCTGAACCAGGACAGCGGGGGAGCGGGTGCCAGTTTGGCGCCCCTAAGGGCCAGTGCGCTCTAGGCAAGCGCCTAGTTTGCCTAGTGAGCAAGCCAGCCCTGCTCAGTGGCCATTGCTAGGTAACCCACAAAAGTATTGCCAGCCTTTAGGTGTTCATTTTTGTCAGTAAAGGGTGGTGGTGGCAGGGCCCTTTTCAGGGCTGTTTGGACCTTTGAGGGAGGACTCATCAGAGCCATGCCTATCAACAACTACTAGGCTGCTTGTTGCCACAAAACGTGCATGACTCACCCAGGCCTAGCTGCTGGGTATTGTTCAAAAGCAGCCACCACTCAAAAGCAAGTGTGGTGCCGTGGTTTCAGACTAGAATCTGGTAGACCCAAGTTTGAATTATCACTCTGCCATGGAAGCTCACTGGGTGACCTTGGGCCAGTTACACATTCTCCCCATTGTCGAGAAAGGCAGGATGTTGTTAATGAAGTAAATATAGCTGAAGATGGTAGGGGAAATAAAAGGTAAGTTGGTTAGGGGGTGAAAAGGAGTGAAGGAAGAAGCGTGAAGATACATGGGTTGCCAGGAGGAGGGAGAGAGAAAATAGTGTGGGGAAGGGGATCCAGGGAAAGTGAGATGCCCCCTGCAACTCCTTGCAGGTTTCTCACCACACAGCTAGGCTCAACGGCAAGCACTGTGCAACTGAGCCATAATTTTACCAGGTAATGTCTGCTAGGGCAAGGGAAGGGGGGTAGATAAAGGTCAGCTGGTTCTTGGATGAAAAGGAGAGAAGGAAGCAGGAAAAGGGAAGAGGCTATGGGGCTTTCCGGGAAAGGAGAGATGAAATAGTGGGGAAGGGAGAAATGAGATGCCCTACAGTATTCCTTGCAGGTCCTTGTTATTTGCTAAGCTGTATGCAACTGGCCAGTTCTTGCTGAGAGGATGATGGGATCAAGACCAGAGGCAGGAACTACGCATCAGGTTCAATCCAGACTAAACTGGCAATTTCCACTGATTTTGTCTTTTCGCTGCAGACTCACTTCATGTCTTTCCTCAGGATTGCCAGTCCCCCAAGAGTAGCAGTTTGTGGTGATCAGTGGGAAGGCAGAAGCAGAAATGTTATGTTCTGCTGATGGAAAATTTAGTCTGAATCTAGCCCAGTGAGAGTCAGTGTGATGCAGTTGTTACAGTATTGGACTAGGATCTGGGAGATGCAGGTCTGAATCCCCACTCTGCCATGGAAACTTGTTGGGTGATTTTGGGCCAGTCCCACACTTACAGCCTATCATCTCTCACAGGGTTGTTATGAGGATGAAATGGAGGAGAATGATGTGCCTCGAGTCCCCACTAGGGAGAAAATGAATAAAATCAATAAAATGACCTGGGTGGGTGCTAGGTTTTGTCAAGTTGCTTCTGACTTATGACTTATGAAAGAACTCAGATGTGAACTTCTGGATCTCCTGACAAAAATATGTAATCTTTCCTTAAAATCTGCCTCCATTCCTGAGGACTGGAAGGTAGCTAATGTCACTCCCATCTTTAAAAAGGGTTCCAGAGGAGATCCGGGAAATTACAAGCCAGTCAGTCTGACGTTGATACCAGGTAAATTGGTGGAAACCATTATTAAGGAAAGAATTAGTAGGCACATTAATGAACAAAACCTATTGAGGTAGACTCAGCATGGGTTGTAAGGGAAGATCTTGACACACTAACCTGTTAGTGTTCTTTGAGGGGGTGAACAAACATGTGGACAAGGGGGACCCAATAGATATTGTTTACCTTGACTTCCAGAAAGCTTTTGATAAAGTTCCTCATCAAAGGCTCCTAAGTAAGCTCAAAAATCATGGGATAAAAGGACAAGTCCTTTTGTGGATCAAAAACTGGCTAATTAATAGAAAACAGAGAATGAGTCTAAATGGGCAATTTTCTCAGTGGAGGGTGGTAAGCAGTGGGGTACCACAGGGATCAGTACTTGGTCCACTGCTTTTTAACGTGTTCATTAATGATTTGGAGTTGGGAGTAAGCAGTGAAGTGGTTAAATTTGCGGATGATATGAAGTTGTTCAGGGTGGTGAAAACCAGTGAGGATTGTGAGGCACTCCAAAGGGATCTGTCAAGGATGGACAAGTGGGCGTGAACATGGCAAATGGGGTTCAAAGTGGCCAAGTGCAAGGTGATGCACATTGGAGCCAAAAATCCTAAATAAAAATATAAGTGTGTGACTGCAATAAAAAAGGCCAATGCTATGCTGGGGATTATTAGGAAGGGTATTGAAAACAGATCAGCCAATATCATAATACCCCTATATAAATCAATGGTGCGACCTCATTTGGAATACTGTGTGCAGTTCTGGTCACCACACCTTAAAAAGGATATTATAGCTTTGGAAAATTGCAGAAAAGGGTTGGAACACTTTTCCTATGAGGAAAGGTTAAAGAGCTTAGGGCTCTTTAGCTTGGAGAAACGATGACTGAGGGGTGACATGATTGAGGTTTATAAGATTATGCATGGGATAGAGCAGGTAGAGAAAGAGGTACTTTTCTCACAATACAAGAACTCGTGGACACTCAATGAAACTGCTGAGCGGTCAGGTTAGAACGGATAAAAGGAAGTACTTCTTCACCCAAAGAGTGATTAACACATGGAATTCACTGCCACAGGAAGTGGTGGCGGCTACAAGCATGGACGGCTTCAAAAGGAAATTAGATAAGCATATGGAGCAGAGGTCCATCAGTGGCTATTAGCCACAAGGTATAGATAGGGGCTCTGGGGCAAGTGATGGTCTGTCTTCTTGGTGCTTGGGGGGGGGGCAACAGTGTTCTAATGTCCTGGCCCCACTGGTGGACCTCCTGATGGCACCTGGTATTTTTGACCACTGTGTGACAGAGTGTTGGACTGGATGGGCCTTTGGCCTGATCTAACATTGGCATCTCATGTTCTTATGACTTACGATGACACTGTAAATTAATGGCCTCCAAAACGTCTTGTCATTAACAGCCTTGCTCGAATCTTACAAAATGAGGGCCATGGCTTCCTCGATTGAGTCAGTACATCTCATGTTGGGTCTTCCTCTTTTCCTGCTGCCTTTAACTTTCCCTAGCGTTATGGGCTTTTCCAGTGAGTTTTGTCTTCTCATAAAGTGACCAAAGTACAATAGCCTCAGTTTGGTCATTTTAGCTTCTGGGGAGAGTTCCGGCTTGATTTGATCTAGAACCCACTTATATGTCTTTTTGACGGTCCATGGTATCCGTAAAACTCTCCTCCAATACCACATTTCAAATTAATCAATAGTGTCTAGGAAAAAGATTGTGTTGCGTATTTTTTACTCATAGCATAATTCAGTAGTATGCTGTATGACAGTCTTTCAGATGTTTTGCAGGGCTCTGAGTAATCACGATTCACAGTTTTATTTCAAATGTTTACAAGTCTGCCTTTCACCCAGGAAACTAGGATCCAAGACCAGTAACATGTTAAAAATGAGTGCCTGCAGGAATAGTAAGTCAATTGCTGCTTTTTATCTAAGAGATACAGGAGGAGCTATACCTAAAAGACCAACAGGAATAAGATAAATGGCTGGTTGTTGATTGTGTCTTGGATCTCCCAGGCAATTTTTGTAGATAAGTAGTTTGTTGTTAAGCACAGAAGTGTCCCATCTTGTGTCTGCTGTCCCCGCAACACAGTTGGGTAAGCCAATAATTGATCTTCTGACAGCAGCTAAACAGTTGTTTTCAGGAAATGCACAAGAAAGGGCTAATAATATATTCTCTTACTTAACCCATCATAAGATAGTCAGAGATCTATAAAAATGGGGCTGTGCTAATACAGCTATGAAATATGAATATCTAGAAGGAACTGATACACCTATTATTCACACATTTATTGGATTCTTTGTTTAAAAAGGAATGTTTGGTATCAGCTATAAAGACTGCATTAAAGAATTGTTTCTCTGTCTCATTATGTATTCTGTTGCCCATCGGCTTCAGTAGATGA